ATGTTTGGCAGTGCGTTATGTCGGTGTCGCAATGGTAGTTATCCCTTCAGCTCTCCTTGAGGGTGGAAAATTGCGACTAGTTGCAGCGCATCGTCGCTTCACTCTTCCCAGAGTGACCTTAGTGTGGTATAGTACTCTTTTTCTGCTGAAACAGAATGTGTCTGTTCGTGCTTGGTCGCCGGGATAACCCGTTTGTCTCTCTGTGTGGTTGTTTGGCATTTGCATCTCCTTTGCCTAAACAATCCGCAAGTATGGCTTGTTTAGGGTTAGTGCCCACACTTCTCGTTGCCCTTCTCGTTGCCCCTCTCCTGATGAAGTTACACCTGCCGCTAGTGTGGGCACCAGCCCTAACTACCATAACCAACCCTGGTTCTTTTTTTTTTCTGCTCCATGGCCATGGAGCTTATCTGGACTTATGCTGCTCCGCGCTGAGGGTGACACAGAACATCAACACGGGCATGCAGTTAGGCACTCAGATGCAGCCAACCGTCCCAAGGCTTAGCAGAAAGAACACTCACCCACAGGCAAGCAAAAACACTTCAGACTTGGAAATCTCTGCAAGAACTCAGGAAAAAGGTACTGCCTTCCGAGATAACACGAACTTCTCAGACTGCGGCGATCTGTTACTACCAGTGCAGGTGGAAGGGTATATATAGGGAGAATGCGTGCAAAAGAGAGAGAGAGAGAGAGAGACACAGAGAGAGAGAGAGCTTTTCTCGGGGTTTGTAATCGTGCAGCAGAGGTTGTTGGGGGTGATGTAAAATGTTGGGGCTTCGTGGATTGCTGAGCTTCAGTGTGAACCTGCTGCCTAACCGTTTCCTCGTGATGGTTTCGTAATTCAGCATCCCTATGCTTTCTCAAGTTTCTCTCCTTCCTCTGGCCTTCTTTTGTTTTGTTTTGTTTCCCAGTCTGGGATTTGGTTGAATGGAGGAGGTCGTTGTTTTTTTCTCATACTTTTGGTCAGGGAATTTTCCGTTATTACTTTATGCAAACAGGATGGGGCTGAAGACCAGCATGGAACCAGAACAGGCACCCGGACTAGAGCGAAAATAATTTTGACCATTTCTCAGTTCATGCGTGTCATTCTTTTCTGTATTGTCCCAATTTCAACGAATGTCCCGAAGCACTCATAGTTTGCCCTTCTCGTTGCCCCTTTCCGTTCTCCCCTCCCTCCCTCCCTCCCCCCCCTTTTGTTCTGTCTCGTGCATACAGGCATGGTTCATACGTTTTCTCTGTTGACGACATCCATTCTCGTTTGTGTATTTCTTTGGGTTCCTATTTGCACTGGTGGTTTCAGTTTCCCGAGTTTTCCGTAGTCCCTCAGGACCCTCGCTAACATGCCCCCCTTTGAACACCTAAAGCGAATCCCATTTCTCCCGTTGCACTCTTCAATTACCCATATATACCTCGTTGCACTCTTCAATTACGTATCTATCCCTCGTTGCACTCTTCGATTACCTATCTATCCGTGTACACAATTCTTTCTACTGTTATCAGGGCACACTCGCACTACGACTTTCCCGGATGCATAAGACCGCTTTTCCGGTCTGGCCTGGCTGCATCCGAGTGCAATTACGTCCATAGAGAAGTGGAAAAAGTCTCTAGTGTGAGTATGCTCTCATCAGTGGCCAAAAGACATGTTTTGTAAAAAGGGAAACATCTGTGGGTGAGCATTAGATTCGGCCCTCTTTTCTTTCTTTTTCTTTTCTTTTTCTTTTCTTTTTTTTCTTTTTTTTTTTCGGCCCTTTGTTCCAAAGGTTTCAAGAAAGTGGAAAACAAAACAGGAAAAAAGAAAGACCACCGCTCCCGTGACGGTTGGGAATTTTTTTTAATGGCTAATTCCAACCAATTCAATTACCTGTGAAATCTGGACAGGACGGCCTTTCAGGCCTTTTTTATTGTCATTATAGTATTACGGGGAACCCCGTAGCAGCCACATCTGTGCTCAAGCTTCCAACGAGGGAACATGCGGGAGCTGCACCCATCAGCAGGTGCGATACCTGCTACAGCAGGTGGGCGATAACGAGGGAACATGCGGGAGCTGCACCCATCAGCAGGTGCGATACCTGCTACAGCAGGTGGGCGATACCGGCCAGGGGTCAGCCGGTAGCATCAGGACCGAGCTTCTTTGATGGGCCAGTCACTGTGCCTCCCCTCCGGTCCCCTCCCCCTATGAACATCAGCAGTCTCTGCTCAATGCCACTCGGGGGACCAACAATCTCTAGGTGGCGGGCGCCAAGCTTGCCCAGGAAGGTACATGAGGACAATTGGGATTGAACCCAAGACCTCCCGAATGCCACTTGCGTGCCTTACCAACTGAGCTAGGCCGCTGGTTAGTAGGCCTGTTTCATCAGGCCTGCGGTAGCACAGTTCTGGCAAAAATGAGGGAAAAGACAACAAGAAAACTGTCAGTTGGCCCTGCGAATTTGTTTTGCAGTCACAGGAGTTCTATTTTGTTGCGTTTGTTTCCCCTGGAAACTCAGCACCTGATCTACTACAGGCTTTATGGGACTCCTTCGACACGGCTACAAATGGAAGGATTCTTACAAAATCATCATTCCACCACACCCTAATGACAAAAACAACCACCTCCACACTGTTTCCACATTTTTGGCTTTTAGGGTCCGCCCCTAAAAATGAGGCCGCCCCAGGCAAATGGACGGAAATCTCTAGCGAGCCCCTGGAGGTGACTTGAAATGTGAAGGTGGGACCCTTCGGATTGCCCGACAGGCCGAGGTCCTGACACCCGGCCCTCCTCACCTGAGATGTAAGGGTGCGTAGATGTAGGGTATTCCTTCGGGCTGTGGAACGGGAAAAAAAAAGTTAGGGTAAATTAATCACCCTGGCCCAGTTAGGGCCCCCTTACAATATAAGGATCTGTAAGTGGTGTGAAACGAGGCCCTATTTCTTTCCAGGTTTTTTGGCACATTCAGCTGAGCGAGAAAAATTGCTGCTGAAGTTGTACTTTTTCCCTGCTCGTAGCTGGCGGGTATTTTTGGCATACCCGTGGCAGTGAGGAAATGAAAATTGTGGCGAATAACGGCAATTATTTGTCTCAAAGTTGTTGTTTTTTCAGTGAGGAAATTAAAATTGTCGCGAATAACGGCAATTATTTGTCTCAAAGTTGTTGTTTTTTCCGATTTAAAAAAATATATGTTCGCTCGAAGATTGTGATGTAATTTACGGGTCCTCTTGCATTTTGATTCTTTGGCATTTCCAGTTCTTCAGAAAATATAGGTGGGTTTTGAAATGGAGAGAAGATTTCATTCCTGGTTGACTGCACTGAAGTCTAACCACCCATCCGGTTTATCATCGAGTTCTGGCTGACTGCAACGAAGTCAAACCATGCATCTGCTCTGTCATTCTCCACTTGATTGCAAGCCCTCTAGTTCTTTTCCTCCTGTCACTTAACATTATGGATTGTCTCTTCCAGCTACTCCCACCCTAGGTTAACAGTCCTGCTTCAACGACCACTATGCAAAGTTGCAAACCCTCTTTTTCTTGCCAGCCTTTTTCGTCGAGCAGGGCTGACCCACTACTTCGTGGTGTGTTGACCGCCGCGTCCAAACAAACGAGCTGGAAAGTGTACTTGTGGTTTCATCAAACCCTAGTCTTCCTCACTCCGCAATTCTACACTAGAGAAAAAGAAAAACACCTCCTATACAAGGTAAGGTCTCACACATATTGACGAGTTTTCGGGACATCATTTTCGCCTTCCGAAAGGGCTCAGTGCCTATGGATCATATAATTTACAAGATGTACATGGCCCGAACGAGCAACCAAGAGGAAGGTAGGAACAAAGAATAGGGTTTTACCTGGCGCTCTATACAATTTGAACCTTCC